AAGACCTAGATGCTCATATTTTCTCTGTTTGCTGTGTGATCAAGATAAAGTGAAGGCTTCATCCCAGTAACCTTTTATTTCTTATTTTTTATTCCACGTGCTGTTTCTATCATGGAAAACAATACACTCATGCTAAAATATGTGCTACCGGTGGAATCAGATGAACATATTATTTTGTTCATCTTCCATTGTATTCTCTTGTCAGAGTGGCATGGTGGGAGGCACGTTGGTACACAGGAGAAACAACTCTCACACAGTTATGATAAGAAAGAGGTCCTCCTTTCAGCAGACCCTACTTAATAAGCAGTTTGCCAATGTTTTCATTAGTTTAAGGAAAATACTAAGCAAACTAATAGAACAAAGCACTAACCTTGCAAAAACTATTTACAGACTTTTATAACTAGCTGTTAAAACCGTTTGCCTTCATTCATACACGAGACTGTGTAAATAAAAATGAGGTTTTCTACTGACGTTAAATAGCAAATGTATCTACTTGAAATACCAGGGAAAGAAACCAGTTTTCAAACATTATAAATCACTTAGCTAAATGCAATGTGGAATTCGACATAGGATCCTGGAAAAGAAAAAGGACATTAGTGGAAAAACCAATGAAAAAGAAATGTCTGCCATTTATTTAAGAGCATTGTATCAATGTTAACGTCTTAGTTTTGACAAATGTACCATGGTTATGCAAGATGTTGACATTAGGCAAAGCTGGTGAGTAGACCGGAACTCTCTCTACTCCCTCTGCAACTTTTTTGTATATTTAAAATTATTCAAAATTATACATTTATTAATAAAGTAACATGTAGTTTTGCTTTGCTAGATGACAACTCTAAGGCAGGGACAGGGTCTGTTGCTCAAAAGTGTCTTGATGCTTGGCTGGGATAGGCTCTCATTAACAGTTGTTGAATGAATGAATAAATAAATAAATGAACGAGCTGTGTACACAGTTTGATCCATTCTGATGATTCTTATTATTCACCCAAACAAATTCGAGCAAGATCTATACTTCGGATGACCATTTCTGCTGTATTCATTCAACAAACAATGAAAGGAACATTTGTTGCCAGCTTCCTGCGTGCAAGACACTGAGGTAAATGTCAAAAATGAGAAAATGGACCAGAGGCCACCTCTGCCCTCAGAGAGTTCCCTTGCCATCTGGCGGGGAAGACACAGAAAAGTTAGCAAACGAGACAGAATATGAAATGACTCCATCTGAAGACTCAGTATCATAACATGGAAACAAAGGAGGTGCCCCTTGGCTGGGGGGACTGGGAAAGGCAATGCAGAATCTTCAGGAATGTGTAGAGATTCTTGAAGAGAGCAAGACAGGGGAGGGCATGAGGATAATAAAACTGCGTTCATTTGAAAATACTTGGCAATTCACTTTTTCATTCTTTTTAATTATTAAAAATATGCCCCCCAAATCCTGTCTGCTCCAATGCATGAAACTTGCCTAGATTTTAATTCTGAATTTCAGATGCTTTAAAAAATGAAACAGATTTATTTAACACCTACTATTTGTAAGTCACTGGGCTAGGTGTTTTCACCTGCAATATTTTATTTAACCCTTAGAAGTCCTATGTAAGGGAGATAACATTATCTTCACTTTACAGATGAAGAAAATGAGCCAGCTGGGTTAATTTACTGAAGGTTACATTGACAACTACAAGGGTAAGAAGCTAGTGAGTTGTCAGAGACTAAGTGGCCACCAATACCTGATCTCCCTTCCTTAGGAGTAATGGAAGTTTCAGTTGGGTGTATGGCTTCCAATTCAAGGCCTCATTCTACTTGCAGCTCAGTGTGGCCGCGTGACTAAGTGCTGGTCAACAGTAGGTAAGCAGAAGTAATGTTTGCAACCTTTGAGTTGTGTCCTTGAAGGGAAGTATCATGTCCTTTCCTTTCTTCCTTCCTGCTGGCACAAATGTAGACATGACAACAACAACTGGAGAAGCCATTTTGAACCTCAAGATGAAAGCTCACGTTCGAAAAGCAAGCAACAAAACTAAAGGGTCCAGGTTCCTTGTGGCGTTAATAGGTTAGCCCCCATCTATCCACCACTGGACTTTCATAGAGAGAGAAATAAACTTATATCTTGTATAATTTACTGTAGTCTCCTATATGCTAACCTGGAGGTCCACAACCCCCAGGCTATGGACAGGTAACCTGTCTGTGGTCTGTTAGGAACTGGGCCACACAGCAGGAGGTGAGCTGTGGGGCCAGAGACTGAAGCTTCATCTGTATTTGCAGCTGCTCCCCAGTGCTAGCATCAGCTAGCACCTCAGATCATCAGGCATTAGATTCTAATTCCTATGAGAATCCAGTCCCTGGTGCCAAAAAGGTTGAAGACCGCTGTTCTAACTCGTTCAAGAGCCCATATTGAAACCCTGACTTGGATGCTGTAAAGCTTTTGCCCCATTCACTAGCAAACACTGTGGGCAGGCCCTGGCAACTTTTCTTTCTACTATACTCACTGCCTCACCCTAATTTCTGTCAAGTCGTTTCCTTTAAAACACTTTGCAACTTGTTTTCCAAACTACAAATCTCTTATCCTCAAATCTTTAAGTTTTCCAATAACCTCCTACTCTTGAAATCCAAGGAATTTTCCCAGTCTTCACATGATCTGGCTTTCAACCTGAGCATTGTGGCCACCCAGTCAGTTCTTCCTGTACTTCCCTTTTCTGGGTCGCTGGCACTTCCCCTTCCTCCCATCCTTCCTTTCTCACTCACTCTACTTCTCTTAGGCACTTTCAATCACTTCCTATGGCTTATCTGTCATCTCAGAATCTTCATGGCTAGCCTGGCTCTCTCTCTTGAGCTCAAAACCTAACTTTTCCGCTACTTGCCAGGCGTGTCCACTGGCATCTGAAATAAACTCACTAATTCTTCCATTTCTGTCTCCCTGTATAGAAGCCGTTGTTCTGTCCTTTGCTTGACCTTTTCCACCTTACCTGTCTTTTATTCTTATTGCCACTTCTCTAATCTAGGCCCAATAAGATAACCTGCTGGGTACCTCTTTACCCCCTATAGTCAGCAAGAAGGCAAATAATCAAAAAATAACATCAAGGAGTCATCTGCCCTGCTAGTTTCAATGGACCTCTATCATCTACATAATAAAAATTTAACTCCTATGCTGGCTTTCAAAAGCATTTGTCTTCATTTCGCTTTCCTAACTTTATTTCCATCTTCACAAACTCTGATCTAATGAATCTTCCCCAAAACATGCCTCATGCTTTTTTTTTTTTTAAATCTCTGTGGCTTTGCTGATGCTATTTTCTCCACTAGTACTCTTCCCCCAGATCTCTACCTATTCAAATCCTAACTATCACTTAAGGCACAACTCAAAGGCGAAGACTTCCTCTGTTGGCTTATGCACAATCTCTCCCTTTTGTCAAACTAACAGCAATTGTTATCATGGTGCTTGTGACCACCATGGAAATATGCCACTTCGATCCCCTGGCGGAGAAAATATAGTTGACTGACAGTCTCTGACGGCCACTTCTCTGGATCCACCACCTGTTACTGCCAAGGCTGCCCTTCCCCTGGCTACTCCCAGCCAGTGACTAAGCAAGACTTGCAGCCCATTCCTGCAAGACTTGAGACTCCTCTAATGGGCAGCTTTGGCAAGAGGATTCCCCACTGGCCTGGCTGAAACTTTCTTAGAACTGCACTACATCCAAGATACTTCCTGCCCTATGATCCTTCCTTTCCCTTCTC